AATTTTCCCAAAAAACTTTAAAAACATGCTCTAACCACACTGCAGCTTGGGTCCGAAAACTACCAGCAATCCACGTTCTTGAGATTGTTGAGGATAAACTGTGCTGTATGCAGAACTTTGAGCTCAAAGGGACTTGGATGAGAAAGACCACTGATTCGATCCCGTTCCACCACCATCGGATGAACCAGGTGCCTCTTGTGCTCTCGATATCCAGTTTTTCCTCCCCTAGTCTTAGCTTGCATACACAGACCCACCCACAACAAAGTGCGCGTGAATGGGCTTGCTTGGGATCGAAACGGAGCTGCGGACAGAAAGGTTAGAATGCGTTGGTCGTGCAACAGCGGTTGGTCAGACAAGAACCCCTTGGGCAACGAGTGAGAGACTTGACAAGCTACTAGTTACCTGGCGCTCTTGATTTCTTGAGCGTGTGGGTCGCCGGAAGCGAACGCCACACTAGGGCACCGGACGCAATCAAAGATTGGATGAGCTTCTCGAGCGTTCGGATTGACCTGACCAGCCGACAAACGGTCGTGCCAGAGTATGGAGCGTAAGACGCGAGCGAGTCGTAAACAAGCTACTAACCTCTTAGCAATATGATATGGATATGGATGGATAGGGAATGTACAGGTCGCTAGGATGCGATCACTGCACAACGAACCCTGGACTTCTTCTAAGGAGACGGGTTGGCCTTTGATTGGAGTGTGATCGAAAAACAACAGGCAAGGCTTGGCTCTACCCCGCCTATGTATCAACCACTAAGATATGGATAATTATGTAAATGTAGATGCGAGTAAGGCCACAGTCCGTACCCAAAAAGGGTACGGCTGATAACCAGTTGTTTGTGGTAAAACCTCCCGACCGACGAAGCCGCACTAGCTGAGGCGCCGGTACTTTTCGTAAAGCTTGAGCCAAATGTAACGTAATCGCTACGCGTGAGAAATGCCGTGCACTAAACGTTCACGTCTCATTTAACTATATATGACGACATATATGAAATTGATCATACATGTATCATATATATATATTGTATATGGGTCTTTTCACTCACCTGGAACCCTGGTCCGTCCACCATGTCGCTTTGGTGATTTCGACTCGACACACATGTTGCGTGTCGGGGGCGGTCGCTTCGTCGCTTCGCAGGCGGTCCACCAGTTCGACGAACAGAGCGTCAACAAGAAGCGTTGCACCGCCTGGAGCAACTGCACCGACGGTTTCAGTGCAAAAAAGGCCACGGTGAGCGCTTCGAAGCCACCGTGCAAGGCAGTGGCGAGGAAGTAGCCCTGGCGCGCCTCAGGCTTTGGGTGTTACATGATGTTACATGGCTTGGGCGGCTTTTTGGGGTTGGTGACTAATTATAATTACATATAATAATATAATGCGATATAATGACTAATGACTATATATATATAGTTGACTGTCATACTTGCACTGAATGTTTTGGGCAGGTTTGGGAGGTTTGATGTTTTGAAATGCTTAAGGTCAGGCCTGTGCGTGCTGTCATCGTTGTTGCTGTACTTGCTCTTGAGCTTCTTGAGCTTCCATATCTTGCGTGTTCTTCCACCCTCCTTTCTACCACTTGAGGACCTCGTGTGAACCACACTGTCCCAGTGTCCCGTTGAATTCCCTCCCGTCGCCCGGATCTCATGCTCTCAGTGGCGCAGTTGAAGAGCTGCTCCAAGTCTTCGAAGGTCTTCGGATCCACAAACACATCGCTATCGTAGAAGATCACGGCCTCCCACATGGTCCCACTCCGAAAGGGAGGCGAGCCGCCGGACACATGTCTCATGATGTGGGACGGTCCGAACATGTCACCGGCGTTGATAAATGGTTTGTAGAGATATGTTGTTCTATCTTGTTGTGGTTCTGCTCAGTTCTGTCGTTTTGTGGTATCCAGGTATCCAGGTTGCTCAACATCCAAATGGAACTTCGAAGGCGGAGTGGAGATCGCCCAAACATGCGCATGGACTCTTGTTTGCTTTTGCTCCAGTCAGTGCATGAGTCTTTCAATGCTCATCACACCTTCATCAACGTAGACAGAAAATGACAAGAGAATCAAAACAACCATCCAGGATGACCAGGCCGGCATCTGAACACAGGCAACCCTGCCACCAGAAGGCCTGTTTCACAAGATCAATGGTCAAAAGCACAGATATTGGTCCTGTCCCACCTTGGATAGAGGGGCCCAGGGTGGTGGCCTCAAACCCACCAACTTACCGTAGCTAGCAGCTTACCGGGTTCGGTTAGGCCTCATAGTCCAATCCCATGACGTGAAGCTTGAAGAAGTCTCGGTCCACACACCAGAACTCCTGGGCCTCATTCGGAGGATTTAACTCCAATGATGTTTGTTCTTCCCAGGAGCCGTCTTGGTAGCTCAAAGTACATCAAATTGGCAGAAAGTCCAGCCCAGTTGCGAAATGAACACTCTCCTGCGATCGTTTCTTTAAAGCGATCTCTTCAGAGACTGTGCATGACTGTGCTTTTTCAAGAACCGAGTACAGGAAAACTCATCATATTCACTTCATGCCCGCAGTGGAAGGCATCTAAGCTAAACACCCACTGGGAGTACAATTAGCGTGATGAGTTCGACGTTGATCATGTAAAAACAGTAGATCGAGTTGAGCGGACAGAGCGTGGCACCCGACACCGGCAAGCTAGCGACCCAACGGGCAGCAACAATGTTTGGATCCCAAACGGTTCGTCGACTCAGCCCCCGATATCATCGACTCAGCGGTGCCGAGTCGTCGACTGTCTGACTCGTCGACGAGGAAGACAGAACGCTGAAGCCAGACTCCAGTCCAGCCTTGGAACGTTCCCACTCTTTCCATATAGCCTATCACCTTTTTGTTTTGAGAGAAATCTCCGGGATTCTCGAACTTTCAGTCTCGGTTCCTGTCATGTCATAACCTCCCACAGCCGTTTGGATCGACCAGTCCCGCGATACACGATTTCCACGGCGCGTTCTCAAGGCTTCAAGGAACCCATTTGGGAATGCCACGTCCAAGTTCCGGGCGGATCCATCCCACCTCCTGGGGTGGTGCCGGCAGGTGTGGCCGGTGCCGGCAGGGCACCAACGGGTTTGGAATGCGCCATGTGGGGTTTCTTTGGGACGTGTGAAGAGCGCGTTTGCACCAGTGTTGGACTGTTTTGGGTAACCCCCAACTGGCAGCTCTCAGGTGTAGCTCTGGCTCTTCCATATCCCTAGTATCCCTAGGCCCAGGCTGCTTGTACAGTCAAACGCTTTGCAAAGTGTCGCCACTGTTTCAAGCCTGTTTCTTCAATACACAAGTAGGCTTTACAGCATCAAAAACTCCTCAGCAGCACTTCAGCACTTCACCGCTGCTATACTCACAGCTACTCCCACCTTCTTGGAAGATCCTTGGACCATTCTCTTAGTGGTTCCTTTCGCGCCACATCGGTCTGAAGAACATTAAACATTGGAAAAAGCATGAAAAAGCCGGTCCTTTTGGCTCAAAGCTCCCCACAACCACTTCTGCCCACTTCAACCCGGTTCACATCGAGAATCGCGTGAAGCTCTCATGCCACATCACACCGCACGCGTAAAATAATCACGCCCACCTGCAGCTGCACGTGGAGTCGTTGCAGCTCGTGGCGCGTTGCAGCGCTAATGGGGAAACGGGCCAGCTCGGGCCGTGGAAGCAACAGCACCACATCGACCGCATTAGGCTCAGCCCAGTGGGTGAGAAGCCTGAGAGTCATGCTGTGTAACGTCTCGAGCTTTCTTTTCACGCGCCTGTTGCTTGTGGCACAACACGCTTCAGAAAAGGAACATGATGGAAACACACACATGAAGATGGCCGATCAACCCTTCTTTAACCTTCAAAATAAGTCCCTTCTTATTTTAAGAACCATTCAATCAGGACACGGAGATGGAGATGGAGGCCATCGCTATTGGGTTGGAGGCCATTGCTGTTAGGCCATCGCTTAGAGCCGGAGTCGTCGTGTTTCCTGTTTTCCCCGCCATCTCTCGGCTCGGCCACTGTGCCATGTAGGAGTCTTTGACATTCTCCAACCACGCCTCACTTCTGGTCGGCGTGAACACCCAGATCCAGGAAAAGATAGGCAAAAGTGGTTTCCCAACAGATTGAAACGGTTTCCAACACTGTTTGAGAGGCCTCCCACAGTTCTCGTGATTCTATGTATCTATATAGATGTGTGTCTTTGGTTGTCACGCACTGGCCCAGTATCATTACCCCAAATCAAAGACCAGTTCAAGTCGACGGTCGACCCCTTGTTCATTTGCTTTAAATACCAACATCAACGAAGAGAACCAACGCCGTGGGTGTCAGGGTTCGAAAAGATGTGGCATCTGAAGGGACACCGTCTCCTCTGCCCATCACCCCCATGCAGGCCCACCCATCTGCTCATCTGCGCTCATCTGCCATCCGAGCTTCTGCCGGTCGCTGAAGATCATCAGCAAACACGAAGGCTCGGCTGCGCGGGAGGAAGGGGTGCGACTTGCAACGACCTGACCGAATAGGGGCGGCATGCCATACCGCACGAGCTTCTACTATTCATGTCTACCGTGATTGGAACTGAGAAGTGCTGCTGACAGCTGGCCACAAGTGCCATGAGAAACATGGAACGACGAACAAAACAAAACGACTGACATCCGAACTCCCAGAGTCCACAGCAAGTTCCCTTTTTTTAATCTTTAAACACATCCGGTGTTACTAGTAGCTTCTTGTTACGACCTAGGGATGCACTTGTTACCCAGTCCTCTAGTCTTCGAAGCGAGAAGTTCTTTTCGGATGCTTTCTGCTCACCTGGCTCGAAGCAGGGACCCACGTGGCCAGCATAGGAGCAGCGTGCTGCAGGGATCTCGCTGCGAGAACCATAGCCAGGAGAAAGCCTGGGCCGGAAGGGCTGAAGAGAGACGAAGAGGGCAAGTCATCCAAGATGAACTGTAGGGCCACCAGTGCTTGATTCAAAGGTATAGGTGACAAAGACAAAGTAAGGTGCCATTGAACCTAGGGGATTTGTCATTGCGTGTTCGGTTTGTCTGGTCAATTTGTATGACCGATTTTTGACAACAAAGACATGACCTCTATGGGCCACTCTAGGGTGGGTGTTGAACCGTCGAAAGAATCAACAAATCCGATTCTGGTTCTAGTTTGTTTCGTGTCTTTTTTCAACGTTTTTTAGGTTTCCAGTTCGTTGAGTTGTCTGACACTGAAGAGCACTCCCCAGCCCATGGGTGTTGATCTCTCCAAAGAGTGCTGACTGTTGTGCCAGCCTCAGCATTGGTGTTGTCAAAGCTTGGGTTTTTCGGGGCCGCGAAGGGGCGTTCTTCCATATAGATGTCGGTACTGGTGCAAAGCAAGTGCAAAGAGAGAGTCGGTCACAAGCCATTCTATTTTGCATCTTCCTTTTGCCAATGACCACGACGAAAATGGAGTTGACTTCAAACAGCTCTTCAATGACGCTTTGAACCATCTAGCAGGGCTCCCCATTTTGGGGGTGTCTATTCATAGCCCCAAAAAGAGGTGGTTTCGGGGTGTCCAAACAAACCACCTCGACCGTGAATCAAGTGGAATCGAGGGGATTGTAGTGGAATCAGTTAGACATGTCACCTGCCTCCTGAGATCTTTTTCGGAAAACGCCAGGGATATCCTTGCATGGATGCTGTTCAGCTACAAGAATTGTCTAGCGCTCCACTTGTGGGCTGAGCTCGAGTCTAATCTTGTAGACTGCATGGTCGTAGAGAAATTGACATCACCACCGCAACAACCCAAAAACACGTTCATTGACAAGGATCTCAAATGAGCTCATAGGCGGCTTCACAAAAAGGTAAAACAGTGGATCTTCCACCAGTTCTTCCGTGTTGAAGCTACCGGCGGCATAGATCGGTGATAAGCACCATTGAGGGCGGCCACACCACTTCAGGCAGTAGCCCATATCCTGCGAATCTTGCCATCTGCTAGCATATATACATGTACAAAAAAAAACAGCAAAAACAAGCAGAACCCAACACACACTTGAGAAGGTTGCTCCGTGGAGCGTGATTTCAGGTAGCTTCGCGGTGTGCATTAGCCCTTTACATTTAGGTACAGCATTAGCCGAGAGCATTAGCACTTTATTGCAAAATCAACGTATGAGACAGCGTTGAACTGACTTAGAAGCATCAATGAGTGAAAATTAAAAATTGCAGGTACAAGATACTGCGTCCAGTATCTCTTCCAACCGAACACCATAGCTTTGTTAGCACGGCTAGGTGAACGGCCGCCGTGCCCCCTGCTACTGTACAATGGTTGAAAAATTCGTAGGGTAGGTTAGAACGAGAACGAGAACTAGGGTAGTGTCCTTGGAAACAGGATTGGACACACACAAAGAGCCGTATCGGCGCAGCTAGATCGGATCAAGTAGGACCTGGATAATAAATAGTAAGTGCTGGACATCGCAAAAGTTCAATACTGTAAATTGTATACGACAACAGTCTGCGAAAGTGCTGGCACATAGTCTTTTTCCTCTTGGCCGCAGCGCCGCGGCGCAGTGTGCTCTTGAATGACCTTTGGTCATATATAGCTGCATCAACTGCTGTGCTGTCGTGTGTGCAAGATGTTTTGGGTAAGTGTATTTTTGTAGTGTGTGGTGGCGTGATTGTAGGCCTGAGAGGCGTAGTCTGTGACTCCCTGCAGATTGCGGATCACGAATCTGCCAGGGATGAGCGGGGAGTTGGAAGGTGACCGTTCTGTTGAGAGGATCGATCAGGAAACCTAGTAGATGGTCGTCGTCCACTGGCTCTATTTCAACTGGGTGTTCATAAAATTCAGGATGGGCCAAAGTGGTAATGGGGAGTGCTGACCTGTATTGTTCGTTGAGCAAAATGTATCGGTTGTCCACGTAGCGGGTGTTGAGCAAATGAAGGCTGGGTTGGTGCAAGAAATTGTGGTACGTGGTTTGCCATGTGTGTTCGATGAGTGTGATTGCGACATTGCAAAGTGCTGGTGAGAGCTGACTGCCGATGCCTGCTCCTTGGATTTGTTTGTAGTAGGTGTTGCATGCTTGGAAAATGCATGAGTGAAGGGCTTGTTGTACAATGAGGGGAATGTGTTGAATGTCCAAGGTGCGTTGTTGTGGGTGGTGAATGTAGTGTCGACCAATGTGGGAGTGTTGGAGGGGATTGCCAGTAGATTGAACGTCAATAGTGATGGTGGTAGTATTGTGTTGTGCTTTCCAGCGGTGGCATAGGCTGATGACTGCATCGACGAGGCGTTGCTGAGGTACACTATTGAAGAAGCCGACGAGGTCATCATTGATTGGTGTGAGGTGGATGTCGTCGGGTGTGGTCTGGAAGTGGTTGTGGAGATGGTGCCACAAGTTGGGTATGGATAACTGGCCTGGATGTTGTGGTAGAAGTTGAAGGAGCATGATGTCTAATGCTTTGGAGGTGGCTCGTAGTAGTGTGCCAGCAATGGATCTGAAGTAGCTGATGACTGTTCTACCTTTTCGCCAGGATTTCTTCTGTTTGAGGAAGACTACACCATGTGGTGTGTAAAATTGCTTGCGAAATCCCCATGGGTAGGCTCGACGTATGCTGGCGGGGAACGATTGTGTGAGAAACTGGTGAAGTTGTTGGGCAGTGAGATCTGGTAGTGGTAGAAATAATTGTGGTGTGTTCCAAGTGGTAAGACATCCGTGAAAGTAGTGTTGTGGACAGAAAAGTCGCAGATTTTGTAATTCGTGGTCGGCATGATGGAGTACCAGCTTGTCTGTAAGAAACTGTTGAAGCTGTGTAACGTTGCGGGATGTAAAGCGTGGGGTGTATAATGTGTTGTCGATGTGCTGTTTCCATTGTTGGTGTAGAAAAGGTAGGCTGTGTTGATGGAGGGCAGTGGGTAGACCATGGTGTCGTAGCCAGTGAGTGAGTTGTTGTTCAAAATGTTGGAAGTATTGTGTCTTTGTGGGAAAGAATGTGCTGTTCATGTTGGCTTGTAGGAATAGTTCCAGATGGCTGGGTAGCTGTAGGTCGTCAAGTGTAAGCACGTAGTGGCCATCATAGAGCTGCGGCGCACAGTTGGGGCGAAGCAGGGTGTGCATGTAGTGGCACCTGCATGGCATGTCTGATGCTGAGGGATGTGCGGAGAAGAGTTCCTCCCAACGTTTGTGGTTGTAGAGCCGTGAACGTAACGTCTTGTGTGCTGCTTCACGTAATTTGGTAGTAGGTGGGTGGAAGGGAATGACGTGATGCATGTGATGTTGGATCAATGTGCGAAGCCATTTTTCTGTGGAGGACGAGAAGGTACTGTGGGAGAGGAAAGGAATGGTAAAGGGTTTGTTGGCTTTGGGTGGAGTGAGATTGCGAAAGCTGAGCGCTGAGTGGAGAAGGTGAAGAACACGTGATCGATCTGGTTCCTCTAAGCTGGCGGCCATTCGACGGAAGGCATAAATTTCGAGATCAGTGTATTTGCCGCTGCGGATGGCTGTTGATGTTTCAAAAGATGAAAGTGTATGTTTGCTGAGCTCGCGTAAAACTGTCAGGGCGTGTAAGCGTTGACTTGTGTGAAGGTGGGGCTGCTTGATGGTGTGTTGTCGTCGTCGTAGCCGTTGGAAGAGACGTTTGTGAGTGGACATGCGTGTGAACGTGGTGCGGTGTTTGGAGAATTGCCAACCTGAGGCTTTGAGTTTGAGGTGTCGTTGGATGTAGGGCCAATTGAGTGTAGGTTGCCATTCTTGGATCCGCAAGTGTTCGTAGGTCCATGCTTGATCATAGGTGTCGTGATGGGAAAGGTAGATGGTACTGTAGTGGTGGAGGTTGTTCTTGGAGTGCCAGTAGCGTAGGGAAAGTTCAGCTGAAATTGGATGGTTGTTGTGTAATTGTTTGAGTTTTGCATGGCGATTGTATTCTCGCTTTGGAATAGTGATACTGGTAGAGCCGATGTACGTGTGTCCATGTTGGTGGTACTGGTGTCTTGTGTGATGTTGGTTGAAAAAGAGCTTGGCATAGACCGCATTGGGATGTGTGAACATTTGGTAGTGGTAGGTGTGTGGTGTAACTTGTAGTTGGTTGAAACGGGAGCGCCAATGTATAGAGTGATGTGTTTGAGAGGGAAAAGCAAAGAGGCATGTAAGGTGAATAAGACTGA